AACATCACATGATCTCGCTTATACATGGAATCTAAAGAACTTAATAAACTGATGAACAGAATAGATTCAATGACATGGAAGCATAGATGAGACATGAATGTCAGAGGGATGGAGGAGGGTGGGTGGGTGGAGGGGGAGAGCATAACCAAAGAATTTATATGCATATATGCACAACCCAAGGCACGGACAATGGTGGGGAGAGAGACTGGGGAGGGGGAAGGGACGGGGTGGAATGGGTCATTGAGGAGAAAAAGGGACATCTGTAATATTTTAAACAAAAATAAAATTTAAAAGTTAAAACAAAATAAAATAAAATAAAGAGTTCAGAGTAATGGTTACAAGGATGTTCAAGGAACTTAGTGAGAACTACAAGAAACTTCTGGGAATATATCCTAAGAATTCTGAAACACGTATCAGAAAGAATATATTCACCCCTACGTTCATAGCAGTGTTATTTACAACAGCTAAAATCTGGAAACAGCACAAGTACCCATCAGTAGAGAAGTGGATAGGAAAGCTGTGGTATATTTACAGAATGGAATACTATGCAGCTGTAAAAAGGAGCTCTTACCCTTTGAGACAACATGGAGGGACCTGGATATTAATATGCTAAGTCAAACAAGCCAGTCAGAGAACACAGATATCACATGATCTCACTTATATGTGGAATCTAATGAAAATAAACTGATGAACAAAATAGTTCGAGAGACATGGATGCATGGAACAGACTAAGGGGTCTCAGAGGGAAAGAGGTTGCGAGGGTGGGAAGAGATTAACCAAAGAACTTATATGCATAGGCCTTGGACACAGACAATAGTGTGGTGAAGGCCTGGGGTGGGGTGGGGGCTGGGTAGAAAGGAAATGGGAGACATCTATAATATTGCCAACAATAAAAAATACATTTTAAACAAATAAATACAAGGGGAAAGGTAAAAACAAAAACAAAAACCACACTCACAAAAACTAACCTAAGTGCATTAAAGACTTAAAGGTAAGACCTGAAACATAAAACTCCTAGAAGAAAACAAAGAGAAAAAGATCTTTGACCCTGGTGTTGGCAACAATTTTTTGGATAACACACCTACTGCACAAGCAACAAAAGCAAAAACAATCAAGTGAGACTACATCAAAATAAAAAGATTGTGCAAAGCAAAAGAAATAATCAACAAAGTGAAAATACAACCTACAGCATGGGAGAAAATATTTACAAGCCAGCCATCTGATAATGGGTTGATATCCTAAATAAATAAGGAACTCCATAGCAAACAAAAAAAAAACAATCCAATTAAAAAGCAAGCAGAAAAACTGAATAAACATTTTCCCAAAGAAGACAAACATGTCTAACAGGTACATGAAAAGATGCTTAACATCACTATTCACCAGAGACACCAAAAGCACAATGAGGTATCACCTTACATCTGCTAGAATGGCTATTATCAAAAAGACGAGAGATAGTAAGTACAGATGGGGAAGTGGAGTTAAGGAAACCTGTGTACTGTTGGTGGGACTATAAACTGGTCCGGCCACAATGGAAAATAACCTGGATATTCAAAATGGAACTACCATATGACCCAGCAGTCCCACTCTGGGAACAGAACCGAAGAATTCTACAAGCTTTGATACATCAATTTGTCATATTTAATTGCCAGTTAAAAATACCTTCCCACCCTGGCTGAGCGGCTCAGTGGGTTGGAGCATCATCCCAGCCACCAACTTGTTACAGGTTTGATCCCCGGTTGGGGCGCATAAGGAGGCAACTGATCAATGTTTCTCTCTCCTATCGATGTTTCTTTCTTTCTCTTCCTTCCCTCTCTTAAAAAAAAAAAAAAAAAAAATTAATAAACATACGCTCAGGTGAAGATTTAAAAAAACCCTTCCCATTTTGATTTCTCAGTTGACCTTCTTTATGGTCTGGCCTATGGCCAACTTTGATCAAGTTCCAAAGAGCACATGGAAGAATGTGTGCTCTACGACGGCCGGACGCAGTTTCTACACGCCAATTAGGTCAAGTTTGCTAATCACATAGTGGAAATATTCCGCTGCTTACTGACCGCTTATAATACTGTTTCTGAAACGTTTGTCACCAGATACTGAATTTCACGTCTTAAAGCTGTACAGAATCTTCATCCTTTATCCAGGGCAACAAAGGGGAGCTTTAAAACAACTTTACTCCTTTCCAGGCTATCCCAGCTTACAGAATGTTTGCCAATATTTTATTGTTTTTAACAACTTCATTGTGGGACAGTTTTGTACATAACTGTGTTTACTGTTCTAGTTGCGCACCACCCCTTCTTGCTCGGAATCTCCTCCTGGAATCCACATGCCTCCTCTTGAAGAAAATTCCTTACAACTTCCTTTCTTGAGGATTCATCTGCAGGTAACACCTGCATTTTTGTTTATTAATGGTTTTTAAATGTCACCCAATTCTCGCCCAGCCGGGCGTGGCTCAGCAGTTGAGCGTCAACCTAGGATCCAGGTGATCAGGGTTTGATTCCCAGTCAGGGCACATGCCCGGGTTGCGGGCTCGATCAATGACTCTCTCATCATTGAGGTTTCTGTCTCTCTCTCTCCCTCTCCTGTCCTCTCTCTGAAATCAATAAAGATATATTTAAAAATAAATAAATGTCACCCAATTCTTAATAACTTTGAGATATATAATTCACCCTTTTAAGTGTGCAATTGAATGACTTTTAGTGAATTTATAGAGTTGTGTCAACATAACCACTCATTCTAAAACATTTTCGTCACCTCTAAAAGAAACCCCATATCCCCATTTCTCCCTCGCCTCAGCCCCTGACAACCACTAATCTGCTTTCTGTCTCTATGGCTTTGCCTATTCTGAACATTTCATATAATATGTGGCCTATTATATCTGGCTTCTTTTACTCAGAATGGTGTTTTGTGTGTGTGTGTTTTTGTTGTGTTTTTTAAAATATATCTTCATTGATTTCAGAGAGAGGAAGGGAAAGGAAGAGAGAGATAGAAACATCAATGATGAGAGTCATTGATTGGCTGCAGCCCGCAACCCGGGCATGTGCCCTGACCGGGAATCGAACCCCGATCCCCTGGATCCTAGGTCGACACTCAACTGCTGAGCCACGCCCGGCTGGGCCAGAATGGTGTTTTTAAGGTTCACCCATGTTGTAGTCTTTTTATGGCTGAATAACATTCCATCGTGTGGATGGACCACGTTTCGTTCATTCATGCATTCATGCACTGATGGACCCCAGGTTCTCTCCATGTGAACAGTGCTGCTATGAATATTCATGTACAAGTTTACGTGTGGTCATTGGTTTCAGTTCTCTTGCGTGGACACCTAGGAGTGGAACTGCTGGGTCAAATGATTGTCACCAGCATTCTTGAACAATAGTTTCACTACAGACCCAATCCTGTGTAGAGAATTTTTTTCTCTCAATGCCTCATCGATACTACCCTCTGCTTCTGGCGTCCAGTGGTTGTTGAGAAGTCTGCTGTGGCTCCTTCATTCCACTGTAGGTGGTTTGGCCTTTCTCTCTGGCTGCTTTCAGAATTATTTTTGTCTTGAATGTGCTGTGTATGTCCAGGCATGGATTTGTTTTTATTTCTACTTGGAATCTATTCTGCTTCCTGAATCCTTTAAATGTTATCTTCTGTTTTCTCCACTCCCTCCATCCAGGATTCCAGACAGGTGTTAAATGCATTATGACTGGCCGTTTTTCCCACTTCTGTCTCCTGGAAAACAACCTCTCTCAGGTGACTGTCCGGGGAGGTCCTGAGGCCTCATTTCACGATGCGCATCCTTGGAGGATGAATGGAGGCATGGGACGTAGACATGCTGTCCCACTGTAGTGAGCTGCTCCCTACCCCCACCTTCACTCCTCAGCATGCCCTGGTGGGAATGACCCAGCCCAGGAACCCCCATGGGGTGGAAGGGGAAGAGGTATGACTGTTTGGAATGGCAACTTTAAATGTTTCCTAGAAAAAGCATTGAGCAGTCATAGTCTAAGTCAGTGAATACAATTTTGTTGTGAATTTCACAAACCCCACTAATGTAACTACCAAAACAGTTTGACAAAGCAGGCCCCACACGCCGGTCACATGTAATGCAAACCACCTCTGTGCTTGTGTTTGGAATTGTTTTCTCTGCCTTTGTTTTTTAACTCTAGACGATGAGGCAGGCTCCTTTGGCCACGACTTCCTCTAAGAAGCCCTGGAGGTATAATTTTCTGGAGCTGGTTAAGGTCTGTGTCATTCGACAGTACGGGTTACTGGTGGAGCACCTACAATACTGACACAGGCTCCCATTTTCTCTAGATACCAACAGTGTGACTCAAACAAAGGGGCCTGTGTCCAAAAGGGATGTTCCATCAGGCAATGCTCTGCCTCTGGGGGAGCTGACACTCCAGGCCTGTTACTGGGGACTGACAGAAACAGCACACCCCTTCCTTTGCAAGAACCCCACAAGTACTGTCTGCACAGGTGAAAGGGCTGACTGGGTAACCCTGAGCACCCACCAGGAGGGAGGCTGGCCTCAGTAAACCACCTCTTCAAAGGAAATAACATAAAGCCACTGTGGTCATAAATACATTTTATTTTATTAGAAATGCTTAATTACAATGTGGAGAGCATTTCCCCCTAGAAAAGTAGGTAAGCAATATGTCCATCAAAATTGTTAGTTGTCTTTGCAAATACCTATTTTCATTTCACTGAACAGAGCACACAGCAAAAGGCTTCTGCTACTCCATTTTTTTTTCAATTTTCTTTTTTGTTATAAACACCATAGCAAATTAAAAAAAGCTGTTTAAACAGAGAAAAATATTGTAGTTCTTGATTTTCTGCGTGTACTTAACGCATTCCACACTGTGCTTCCTCACTCTTTCTCTAGATATCAACAGTGTGACTCAAACGAAGGGGTCTTCTGGTGAGGGCGGCGGTTGTTGTTATCATCTGTTTATTTATTGGGACACTTTCCCTGTGACGAGGCTCCGGATGCACTTTAACAGAATGTGTGCTATCACCTCCCTGTGGAAGCCATGGGGCCAGGCGCATGTAGAACTGGGTGGTTGGCTGGAGCCGGCGCTGAGAGCGGCGACAGCTCCTCCACCTTGGGTCCTGTTGTGGTCGGGCAGCCTGTCCTGCATCACTGGATCTGGATGGCTCCGTGCTCAAGCTGCATTTCGGGCTGCAGGGTGGGCTGCAGGGTCTCGGCTGTCTGCAAGAGGGGAGAGAGGAGGGCTTTTCTATAAAAGTACCCACCAACTCAAGTCCAGGCCACTCACTGGTCACAAAATACCACTGGTTTTCAAGCACAGAGCAAACACACACAGCAGAACTGGAAGGGGCTGGGTCCTAAGTGCACCCCTGCTTTGAGCAATGACTTTCCCAGAACCTGAGCTGCTTTGCAGCAGCTCTGATGAATCCGGGCTGTGGAATCTCCTTGCGGGGCCTCCTGCTAGCCCAGGTCCCGACCGACCCTCCCACACAAGCTTGCAGGGCTCCCTAAAACCTGCGGTGATTTCCTATTCGTACCCCCTGCTTATCACCGGGGATACTCTCGGAGTGGTTAACGTAACCGTAACCTAATATATTTGCCTAGAATTTCAGTTACCATTTTGCCTTTTCTTATAAAAACTGTTCCAATGTTCAAAAAAAGCATTTTAGGGACAGGTACCTTTCTTTCCATAAAGACATAAGTACTATACAATGATTACAGATATTAAGAAGATTTTAAATGCATATTCACAGTTTTAAGACACGTTAAAGGGAAAAATACAATCTTGGAATAAGTCACCAATCATTCATCTCAACCATACAGAACTGGCTCCCAAATGGAGGTTTTGGAATTTTTAGGATCCCCTAAGCTGTCTATCAAAGGCGATGTCACAAAGACTAGACCCTCAGAGGTGGCCTTCCTGGCTTTTCTGGCAGGAAATTTAGTTGGAGGGGCCTGGCAGGGTGACTGAAAAGAAAGAAACAAAGAAAGCCACAGAGACGGGAAGGCGGAAGTCCCTGGGTATGGGGGCTGGCGCTACAACTCCTATTGCAATTCAAGACTGCAATTTTGAAATACTATACAAACATCAAATGACATTCAACAGTGTTTCCTTAAAGCAGAGGCTTTCCAGTTTCAGATGAAGGACTCAGCACAGACAATCCGTGCACTGTCATTGGAGCTCATGAGTGGCTGGGCAAGAGCAACAAAAAAGGGATCAACTGACACAGACAAGGTGGGGGCTTCCCCACAAGTTTCTGGATGAGGGAAAGTGGACTGGACAGTGCTGGTGGCTTCAGGTGGAGGGGAGAGAGAGGCTCCAGGCCGGGGCAGTAAGCATGTGTCTCATTCTCTGCTGTTGCTATCTGTCCTAATTGAATGGCTCTTGAGAACTGCCAGATGTGAACTGAGACCAAGAACATTGATAGGAAGCCAAGGTGGCAAGGGGCTAAAATGGACACGGCTTCCGTCAATTCTGAAATCTGTAGAATGAGAAAACCTATACTACAGGAAGCTGACCCACCACAGAGGCCCCAGACCTGAAGAACACATGCAGTGCAACCCTTCTGTGACTGCCCAGCAGCAGGGATTGAACTGCCTTTACACACGACCCTTTCACAATAGCCTCGTGTCAGGCACCATCACCTAATGTGGGACAAGGTGGGCCCACATGGGAGCTTTCTTCCCAGACAGGGTCACTCTTAAACCACAATAAAAAGCTGGTTGGGGAGAATTCATCTTCCCTCCACACACACCCCTCTGGGCTCCAGGCCATGACTCATCCTTCTCGGTCGGTCTCACAGTGGAGGGGGTCCCTGTAGTCACTGCTGTATGAAAGCCCAACACCACTAGAGTGGGAAATGCCTGGGCTTTGGAAGTGGCTGGAGGGGTCTGGGTTTGAGGGGTGGGGGGTACACACACACCTTTTTCAGGATATACCTTCCCAGACTCTGGGCCAGTTGGGGCCTCACTGTGAATCAGGACAGAGTGAGAATTTTAGTCCTCACAGGACTGCTGAGTCGCCAGGGTCACCTTGGGCAACCTACTTGGCTCCACTGAGCCCCACTCCTCAGCAACAACCTCACCAGGCTGCAAGCCAGCCAAATGAGAATTTCCTTTTCTCCAAGGGCAATGGAGAGCACATGGCACCTAGTACAGTGCAGAGTAGAGTGTGGAAGGGAAGAGGGACCATCTGGAAATGTGGGGCTTTAATTCTAAGTGTCAAAGGCTGATGGCATCAAGACACACGAGGCTCATCAGTACTGGGCCGAAGACAGGAGAGGAGCAGACCCAGGGAGGACAGTAGGACGTGCAGAGGGTGGGGAAGGAGCCAGTACCCAGCAGGCTGGAATAGTTCACTGACAGGGTCCTATGGGCAGGGGACTCCAAGGCTGTCCCCAGGCCAGGGCTGCCCAGACACAAGGCCTTCCCCTGCCTTACCATGGTAAAGTAAAAGCCCCTGCATCATAATGGCACTCATCTTGATCTCAGCAGTAAAGTTAGTGATTTAACCCTACAGCCTATGAGGTTTGAGAATGCAGGCAACCAGCCTATCTGAGTTGTTCACAAAACCAGCAGCCTTGTACTTTGTTCCAATGACCCGGTGCCCTCTCAGGACCAATCCTATGATTATTCTCATGAAACAGGAATACGCATTTATTTTAGAACTGGTTGTTCTGAATACAACCAACCAGGGAGAACTCACTCACACTGTCCCCTAAAGCGGCTCAGGCTGTCAGGCTTCTGCCAGTTCTCCCTGCTAGTATGAGGGAGCAGGCTTGGGTCCCCCACACCCAGGGGGACTCTGGAGAAGCCATGATGCTCTCTCCACAAAGCACACTCACTGTGGGGCAGCTCCATGAAGACCTCAAACATCTAAAGAAGTGACCCTCTCATCTGACATTTTAAAAAGTGTCCAAATGGAGTGTGAATGCTGGAGTTTCCAGTGCTCCCAGGAAAGTACAGATAAAGGGCAGCTTGAGGGGAAATCCAGCAAAACCAGATGAGGAGAGGCTCATCAGTGGTCACAGTCAATCAGACATGCTGAATAAGCCCGTAACAAACACAAATGGGCCTTACAAATGTGGAGTTCCTGACAAGGCCGGCAGGCTGCCATGCTAGTAGTGTGAGAACCTGGCCAAACGGTGCCCCCAGGAGCAAATGCAGGCACCATAGCTAGCTGGGCCATCCTGCATTTCTACCCCAAAGCAGCGGGCTGCTTAGAGGCAAATGCCCCATAAACCTGCCCCTGGGAAACGGGTGGAGGCTGAAGGCCAGGCCTGCATGAGTGTCGACCCCTGGGCCAGGTGCCGCCCACACTGGGGGAAGCAGGTCTCAGGCCAACAGGCAACCCTTGCTTGGGAAGGAATATTGAGCAGAATTTAATTTTTGCCTCTGAATTTATAGACAAACATTTGCACAACACAGAAGAGCTCAAGGATCAGTTTAAGACTGGCACCTGGGTCAGGATCTAACTTCTCACCTGCACATTTTCAGGCACTTATAAAAAATATAATTCTAAATGAGTGCCTATGTCCAAATTATGCATCTTTCAATGGTAATCACCTTCCTCCCAGAAGAATGCCAGAAGTAGAAATACCCAAGCTGTGTTCACACCCAGAGAAGGCCCAGGACCTATTCACAGACAGAGGCAGGACTCACCTGAGCTGCTGTGGTGTGGTCAGTCACTGGCGCCAGCTGGACATACTGGACCTGGATGTCACTGCCCTGCAGAGACGACCCATCCACTCCTGCAGCAGTAGGGTCTGAAGAGGCCACAGCTATTAGCTGGGCCCCCTGCAGCACCTGAAAAGACAAAGCAGACACCATCAGCAGCGTTACGAGCACAAGGACAAAAATGAGAGCCAAGCATGCAGACTCCATTGTGACCGTATGAGCCAAGGAGGATGACCCGGGACTGCACTCCACACTGTGGGGTCCGTCTGTCTCGGGAATCACTCTGGAGTAACGTCTGATTGGCCACTGTATGTGTGTGGTGTGAACATGTGTGAATGCATGTGTGTGAGATCAGGTTATTCCACTACATCTGCAAGGGGCCTCCCTCAAACATCTACATATTGGGCAGAAAGAAAGCTTTTTAAGCCTAATAGGAAAAAAGCAACCAGCTCGAGTTTCTGAACAGTGAGTGGGGGAGTGGTCAGAGCACTGGGATGGAGAGATGGTAGGACACAGAGCAGGAAGGAAAGCACTTGAAGACCTCCTGGAAATCACCATGGTTCTAGGTTCATGGGAAGGGGAGAGATGGAGGGCAGCCAGGAGGGACAGGAGATGGCAGCATGTCCTTAACCTGTAAGCAAGACACATTCACTGGACCTTCCTGGAACCCCCAGAGCATTTGCAAGTCAGGGGAGATGAAGAAGCCCCCAAAGAGTTGACCATCGAGTTTAAGAAATAGAAAACATGCATATGAATTACAACACCTAACACTCCAGGTGGAGTCGAGAAGACCTCTGGGTGAGGAGCGGTGATCAGGAGAGGACATTGATGAAAGATAGCAGTAGAACTCCCAGGGGTGAGACCAAGTTCCAGAGACACATCACCAATGAAAGTCCCCGTGACACCAGGGACAGAGCGCTGGTCTGTGCCTGAAGGTGGGGGCCAGGTGAGGCCTTGGGGACAGGCTCTGGGTGACTCCACCACTCAAGAGCACCCCCACGTCCAGGCCTACTTCCCGCCCAGCCCACCTGGTGCTCCAGCAGCAGAAAGGCAGGCTGGTGCCTTGACATCTGAAGGCCAGGATGGGGAGTGGGGGTGGGGATCTCTGAGGCTTTGTATTCATGACAGTGAGTTGCCAAGCACTGTGAGGGTTTTTACTTGGGGGTTGCATCCCACCCCTCCCTCATGGGCTGTCCAGGTGGGGCAACAATGACCATGCTTCCTGGCCAGCCCACTGCCTCCTGCGACAGTATCAGAGCTGAGGAAGAAGGTGCAGATCTGCAGAGAAAGGAGGGATTGCCCACTCTGGAAAAGGCAGGCTTGGAGTCCTTATGAAAATACAATCTGTGGTTTTCAAATAGCATTCTAGTTTTTGATAAGCACGAGTTCCATTTCTTTAACAAAGAACCATCAGTGGAAAAACAGGTAAATTCAATTTTTAGAAAAGATGGCAGAAGGTTCTTAACTACTTCTTCTTTTGTTTCTTCAGAAACCACTGGAAAACAGTTTCCACTCTAATGCCAGCCAGCTATGCCGGGAGGAGCGCTGCCCCTGGGCGCCCGCGTCCTCACCCCCAGGCCAACATGGGCAGAGGCACTTGGCAGACGGGATTAAGTTGATCATCTCAAGATGGAGAGAGTGTCCTGGAGTGTCAAGTGGGCCCAATGTCACATGGGCATCTTGAAAAACAGACTCTTTCCCAGCTGCAGAGGGACAGAGGGATGCAACATGAGTCGACTGGCCATGGCTGGCCTGGAAGACAGAGGAAGGGGTGCCTATAGAAGCTGGAAAAGGAGCCTCCAAAGAGACACTTCGGACTTCTGCCCTCCAGACTATGAAAGAGTAAATGCGTGTGGCCACACCACAGTGGCCATAGGATATGCACACAGCTGCACTCACCATTTCTACAACTGCCTTCTTCAAGCGCAGGGCCTGGCTTCTGGGTACCCAAAGGGCTGAGCTGAAAACAATGGCTCTTTATTAAAACACCACTCTTTTCCATTATAAACTGTTTACACTAATGAGTGAGAGGTTTAAAAAAAAGAGAAAACTGAAGTCTCCTCTATTACCCACATTTTCTTTTCCCCAGCACATACTCTCCTCCAGATCTTTCATGATCAGAAAAATAGGACATGGTTCTGTCCAGTTCCATAGCTTTGCTTCCCCATCGCCAGGGAGGCAGCCATCTCCCATGTGGTCCATGGGGCTGAGCAGTCAAGGGCAGCAGCCGACGTGGCCATAGCTGAACTGAGGAGCCTGCTCTACCTGGGAGCAGGCAGGGGACACTGGAGCTTGGGGGTATCCCCACAGCCCTAAGTGGGGAATCCCTGAGTCCCCTCTGCAAGGCCTGGAGGGCCTCCGCTAGGCATCAGTCTCCTTGTGGCTCAGGAAAGCATCAGTGTTTTTTTTAAGAAAAGGCAGCAAGACCCAGGAGGGTTCCCCAGGTCCCTCCAGAAAGAGTCCAGATATGCTCTCTATTCCACAAACTCCCAACAAGGTCAAAGGACTCAGATCCAGAAAAACCATCTGGGACCTGAAGAAAGGGAGACATGAAGCTGTATTTAGTCATGGATATGTTTTAGGAGCCTCTGGCCATCAAAGAATTTGGCAGTGGCTAGCTGATCTTTCATTCCTTTGCCTCTTTTTGGAGTGACTGTAGGCACGACCCCCTGACCCAGAAAATAAAATCCAGTGTGTGACCTCACTTTGCCAGCCAGGAATGGACAAGGGTGCCACTGTTCTTGTCAGCTCTCAGCACCAGATGAAAATATGGAGCCGTGACCTGTCAGGGTCTCTGCAGGATTGCACAACATCTTTAGGACACAGGTGGGGCCACCAATTCCTTCTCTCCACAGGTTGCTTCACCCTGGTCTGTAAGCCTGAAGTTAATGACTGAACCACTTTGGTTCAAGGATTCTATACTATTTGTCTCTGGCCCCCATCCTCACATTTCTCAAATTATCAATTCTTTGTGCTATGAATACATAGCTATGTTCTTGGGAATGTGATTATTCAAAACCTCTAGCACAGTGGAGGAACCACTGCAGAAACACTGACCAGCGTACATGTCATTAGCTGGCCCCATTTCCCACAGGCCTTATTTCAAATCTAAGACTGAGACCAACACACCTGCGAGTGGGTGACCAGCTGATTTGGAGGCTGGTGCAGTGCTTGTGGCATCTGTACCTACATCTCTTAGTCAGCAGACTCACTCCTAACTTACATGCATCTGTGAACTTTTTATGAAGAACTCCCACACAGGAATGTCCATGTGATGTTCTTGCTGCCAGGCCCCACATTCCCCAAGTACATCACAATCAAGTATGGCTTATTCCCAGTGGCAAAGCTGAGGAAAGAGTAATGTGGGCAACAAAGTCCCACTCAATCTAAGTTTGTGGTTTGGGTCAGAAGTTGGGCAACAATGCTGTCCCACAACAGCTAGAAAAAAATAAAAATGGGGAAAAGACTAAAGGTAACAGAAGTGGTAGGAAATTCTCAAAACCACACAGTCGTCTGCCCTTTGGGTGGGTGAAAAGAGGGAGAGGGGTATAGTCTGCGATACCATGGCTGCCCTACCTCAGCACAGATTTCCTAGATCCTGGACTAAACTTTAAAAAAATCTAAGCAATATTTTCAAATACTAAACCAAATGTTAGGTATTTTAATGTAGTCACAGTTTCATAACTGATGTGTATTTTAAAAGATCCTTTAATAAGTGAATTTGAGGTCAAATCATATAACCATTTTTTAAGTAAACTTATAAAATCATGGGACTTATTTCTGAGAAGGTTCTGACTGTACTATGGGTTTGGCGATGAGCCACTACCCCCTACAAACGGAAGGCATTTTACCATATCCTAAGAGAGATTTTCCCCTGTCAGCATTGCCAATATAATGACTTTTCACATGCTCTACACAGCTGATTAAATCTTAAGAATTATAATGTCAGAAATCTCAGAATCTAAATGTGCAGAATTATAATAGTGAAGGTAGGCACATTACCAGCCTGGCTGGCAAATGAAAATAAAAATAGGAACATGTTCTCCAATGGGAATTCATTCAAAATGCTATGCCCTTTAAACATTTACACATTGGCTTGGTTTTGTTAAGTGATTCAGAAATGAGTTAAACATTTAACGTGCACACTACTGGAAGAAAAGACCTTCCAAACAGTTATCATTCTCCCTCTTCCTCGTACTCCAGACCCTGCAGAGAACACCTGCCCAGGGGACCTCCCCTACCGAGGCCTCAGCAGGAGTCCTGTGCTGCCCCAGCTTCAACACCTTGACTCCAGCACTGGGAGAGAGGATGGGCAGGCCAGCACCTAACTAAGCCTGCCTCCTGCTCATCTGTCCACAGCCCCATCTCCTGTGGGACAAAGCTTGCCTGGATGAATTTCCACTCATTTCCCAAAAGTGAGCTTTCAGCTCCTTTTTCATCCTTCCTGCTCATTTTCTGTTTGGTGCCTTTTCCAAGCAGGCTCCGGAATGTAGAAAGATCTAACTGGAATGCAGTGAGCTCCAGGCAAGTAGCCAGTGGCAGCACCTCCAGGCTGCCAGCCACTGCGAGCTTGAGGCTGCACTTACAGCGGGGCTCCCTGAAGGGAAGCATATCATCCGTGAGGCATTCAGGGATGGGGTGCAGGCATGGGCTAGTGTCCCAGCTTCATTTAGAGGGTTCCTCTATACATTTCTGAAGCACAGCCAATTATTTTCCGACAAAAGAAAAAGGCCTAGGGTATGGATATAAAGCAGCCTACTAAGGGGATCATGGATCTAAGAGCACTGTTTAGTGGAGCAAACACATCTGGTTTTCCTCTCTACATTGCCAATTCTGAAACTCTGTTTAATACCCAACTGAGATAATGCAAAACTGGTGCAGAACAGAAAATAAATGCAAGAAGCCCAAGGTCTTTTCAGTATCATTTAGATATAAAATTTCAAATCCAACCAAAAATCCACCCAGATACAAAAAAGAAAAAAAGAAAAAGAAAACCTAACTCGCACCCCCTCCCCCAAAAAAACAAACCAACAAAAAAGCCGTCAATGCACTTACAAGATCTGTTTGTAACAGTTTAATTAAGTTTGTGGCCAGGAATGAGACCACTCATCCCGAGGCCTCCTAGAAAC